GAGGCGAGAAGTATGATGACGACGACGGCCACTACATTGTAACGCCAAATGTTCCATTGACCGATCGATGTAAGTAATCGATGTCTACGGAAGGAAGGACGCCCAAACTGACACCTTCAGACTCGATCGTCAAACTACTGGGACAAGGTACATTCGGGAAGGTGGTCGAGGCGTACGACAAGACCCGCAAGACCCGCTGTGCGGTCAAGATCATCCGCTCCATTCAGAAATATCGCGATGCCTCGCGGATCGAGCTGCGAGTCTTGTCCACCTTGGCCTCGAATGATAAAGCCAATCGGAACAAGTGCATTCACCTACGGGATTGCTTCGATTTCCGCAACCACATCTGCATTGTGACAGATCTGCTGGGACAGAGTGTTTTTGATTTCCTCAAGGGAAATGCCTTCGTGCCGTTTCCCAGCAGTCAGATTCAAAATTTTGCCCGGCAACTGTTCACCAGTGTTGCTTGTGAGTTTTCTTGATTGTTTATTCTCTGCAGATGCTGACTGTGCAGTTCTCCATGACCTCAACCTCATCCACACCGATCTCAAACCCGAGAACATCCTGCTTGTTAGCAGTGCATACCAGACCTTCACATATAACCGTACCATTCCCTCATCCTCCTGCGCGATTTCACGGAGCGCCCGGCAGAGACGTGTCTTGCTAGATAGTGAGATCCGGTTGATCGACTTCGGGTCGGCCACCTTCGATGATGAGTACCACTCGTCGGTGGTCTCCACGCGACACTACCGGGCTCCCGAGATTATCTTGAACCTGGGCTGGAGTTTCCCCTGCGATATTTGGAGTATCGGGTGTATCCTCGTGGAATTCTTCACGGGAGATGCTCTGTTCCAAACTCATGACAATCTCGAACATCTGGCCATGATGGAGGCCGTCATCGGGGAGCGAATCGACACGCGGCTTGTCCGGCAAGTGATGCAGGGTGGTCGGAGTGGAAGCCAAAACCAGGCTGCAAAGTATGTTTTTCGTCTTCGTTCTTTTAGATTGTACTAACCTGAAAAGGTACTTCTGCCGCCTACGCCTTGAATATCCCAATGACCAGACGACACGGGCTTCACGAAAGTACGTCCGGGCGATGAAACAGCTCATTGTAAGTTATCGGAGACCGCCAGCCTCCGGAAGCCACCACTAACGAGTCACAGGAGTTTATCCCAAGCAATACCAAGTTCCATCGACTGTTCCTGGATTTGTTGCAAAAGATCTTTGTGTATGATCCGAAGAACCGGATAACCGCCAAGGAAGCCTTGAAGCACCCCTGGTTCAAAGAGTCGTTGGTGGATGACGGTACAGAGGCTCTCCGCATCGGGGAACAATTACAACGTACCGGCCAACGTCGCCAGTGAGGAGGTTGACTTCTAGTGCAAGGGAACACTGCATGACAAACCACATGGCATAAGAGCCGGTGGCTGCGGTCTTCGAGCTCTGTGTCGGGTATAGCTGCCTTTACGATAGATGGACCGTTACTTTATTTTGGATAATACTTAGCAGGGCTGTACGGGTTGCCCGCTTGACGATGACCGGGTATATGCAATAGGGAGGGGTTTCACGGAGTCTGGTGTTTATGTTTGTGTCACAAAGCTCCATTCTATCGGACGGTGAATTATTTCCTGGTCGGTTGCAGGCCTTGACGGAGGAAAATATTCTTTGTGGCCGCAACGAAAGGATACGATGTGGTTGATTCTGTCTCTATCGGCTTGCTCTTAGCCATCTTATATCTTATCTATTACTGATATATTCGATACGCCTGCATTGTGTTCTAGGCGTGGGTTGAGTTGTCCTTTGGGGAAGGGCTTGATTGTGGTAGTATCTATGATACGTGCGATACTGGTACCTGCCTACACTTGCCTATGCATTATTGTCATTACTCATATCATACTGCGATGTATATACCCCGAGTTGTCACTGATACAACTGATTGAGATGCATGATGCTTACGCAATGGTTTAGAACCAAATTCGATGACGAGGCGATAGAAGCTCACTGCTAGACTACAACAAATAGACAGCTAGCTGTCTTGCTGCCACGAAGTCACGAAGCCATGCATGACCAACAATTTCTTTCAGACTCACGATCTATCTATACACATGTCTGCCCTCATCTAGAATCCGAACACAGTTTCGAACTCCCCCCCCCCCCAGCGGGAGGCCGGGGGGAAGATACTCCCAAAGAACTCCCGAAATCCGTCACTTATACTTCACAAAAACATCACACCGCGTCCCATCCCCCTCGACAAACTCCTCAACGGGGCCCACGAACCCCGTCTTCCGCAGCACCCGCTGACTCGCCGCATTGTCGTGGTTCGTGATCGCCCACAACCCCGCCTCCACATTCCCGGTGGCCTCCGCGCCATACGCCTCCGTCATGCGGGCCTGCAGCTCCCCGAAGAACTTCTGGCTGAGGTGCTGCACCGCCTCCGTCGCGTACCCCCTGCCCCACACATCCGGGTGGAAGATGTACCCCAGTTCCCAGCGGTCTTTGCGTGGGGGGTGCTGGTCCGCCGCACCGCCCGACGACGACGACGACGACGACGTCAATCCAGAATCATCCCGCTGGGTCGGGGCGGGCTCCATCCGCACGCCCATGTTGCCGATGACGGGGCCTGCTGCTGCTGCTGCTGCTGGAGTGCCACTCCCGTTGGGAATGGGAGTGGAAGTTTGAGGAGGCGTTGGTAACAATTCCCGGACAACGTAGCACGTCCGGGGCGGGTGGTTCTCCCCCGAGATGTATTTCGTTAGCCACGTGCGGGTTTCTTCGAGGTTCTGGTCGGGGAGTTTGCGCAGGCTGGTGGTGGTGGTGGTGGGTGTCGTATTAGTGTGGTAATTTTCTCGGATTTTTCGTGCACGGAGTGGAGAATTCACGGGGGGTCTTGCTCACCTCCATCTCATGACTTCGGTTTTGTTGCGGATCTGATACATGGCTTCGAGATCGTCGGGCGTCATGGCCTCGAAGAGGAGGCGCGGAGTGGTGAAGGTTGGTGGGGGGTACATCTTTTGTCGGGGGGTTCTTTTGTGTTTGCGGTTTCTGGGATCTAGAGGTAGAGATATCAAAGGGGAAGGTGTCTAGTATACGATTATGACTGAGTGGTTGATTGTTGGATTTCAAGTTGAGATCCAGGGTCCATTGATCTTATTTATGGGTTGGGGGTGGGTTTTCTTATTCTCGATCTTGAGGGTCTCGTGTTGCGCGCGCGGGTGCGTGAGTCATATTGCTTGGAGTAATTAATTCTGCTTGGTTTGCCCCGTTGTGACTTGGTTTTTTGAGGCAATTGGCGATTGGTGTAAGACATTGTATTCTTAGTGAGGTTGATGATAAGAGGTATGGAGGTTTGTCTTCCTTTGGTGGTTGGAGGTTGGAGTGGGGGTTCGCTGCTTGTGCTACTGTGCTGCTGTGCTGCTGTGCTACATGTGGACTGTGGAGGGGTCCACGGTGTGTATTGCGGGTGCTTGTTGTATATACTCCGTATACTGGCGACACATATTATTTGTCGAATCGGCACTGCGGTCTCTGTACTATTCAGCAGTTTCAGCAGTTTATCCATGCTATTTTATTACTATTAGGCTATAGGACTACCCGGGGCCCACTGGGATGTGCAAAATGGTGCAATGTATGGAATGGAGAATGCCACCTCGATTCAATGGCAGCGTCTCCTGTTGTTAATATGTCTATACTTTCTTATTCACTCACCCTTTGATCAGGTTATTGCTTACCTACTTGTATCCTCCCCTTCATCTCTCTGTTCTTCTTCTTCTAAATTCCTCCCTCTATCTCTCTCTCTCCTTCCTGTCTCTCTCCCATTGGCCAGACTCAAAGCTCCCTCTTCATCTTCGACCAGGTTTAAGAGGCTACCCTTACAACTATCCTATCCAGCTTCAGCTACCCTCAACGCAACCTCGAACGTGTGGCTTATCATCTCTACGCCTCACGCATGCTGCCCCTGACCACAGACTCGACTTCTCCGACACAAAAGGTCTCGCGTACCTTCCGGTGGGCCAACGATCAGGATGCACTCGCCCAATTTGTATCTCAATCATACAACCTATCATCTCTTCAAGTATAGTTCGCAAGGAGAAATAAACAACCCTCACCTCACATTCGATGGCCAAAATCTACAATCACCACTGCAACATCATCATCATCATCATCATCCGCAGCGCCACCGAAGTCTGCAAGAAATCGCAGGAATTGCAGGGGCATCAAACAACGTGCCGATGTCCACAACACGTGGTCGACTCACTGAAGCCAGGCATGTTGCAGAGATCAGGCTGAAGGTGTTCACCACGAAGCCTCCCAAGTAAGCTTTCCCCAGCCTCCACCGCCAAAGATTGAGACTCATTTGTGGAAGAACGCAGCAGAGGCAGCGAAATACGATGCCTACTACTGAGGCCCGGCTGGCATCTGCTTGCTTTCGGTCGGTGTGGTCTCGGATCTTGGCTAGATTGAGTTGATTTGCTGGTACTGGAAGACTGCAGCGACAGCTACAAACCGGGGCGAGGAATTTTCTCAATTTATGCACAACGGCCATGGATATACCACGGTAAGTCCTCCACCAGCCCATGTTCTCCCTCTCTGCCATGATTAGGGCTCCTGACGCCACAATTTGTTCTAAGACCAGAATATGCGGCGCAGCATCCGCAGCCCGGGGATCTCAGTTACTGCTTGAGCTGTACTCCAAACGCTACAGACAGTGCAGGGTCGAGTGTGCTCTGGTATGTGCTTTTTGCCTCCCTCACTGCCTCTTGCGCAGCCTGGCCAGGTGCCAACCCTCGGTCTCTAGTGCCCATGTTCGCGCCCGATTGTTGATCGCAAGGTGGATGCCAGTCCTCCTAAATAAGATTGATCAGGGTTCGAGAGAGCCACCTGCGCTAAGATGCTCAGCTCGCGCGACGAGAATCCTGACTCAGTTCTCAGGCCTGAAGGATGCAACTTAAGATGAACGATGGAGCCAGCTTGGCATTTCCTTGCTTTCTTTCTGGCCCCCAAAGATTGCGACATCTAGTTCTAGACAAGACAGGCAGACTGGCATAAAGAACAAGCCATATAAACCTTCATAAGTACTCATTCTCATCCCAACCAAACAAAGAGAACACGACAAGCCTCACCATAGATACCGTACTGCTAATGCGAACGTCTATAAAACTGCACATGCTGACTTTCACACCCCAACATCCCCAGCTCCTCCAACCGAGCCAAAAACTCCCCCCACCAATCCACCGCATGCGTCTCGCGGATCGACTTGTAGCTCTTCTCCCCGGCCCGCCCATTCCACCGCAGAAAGTAGACCAGGCACTGCGCCCCGCGATGGCCCTGGAAGTCCACAGCGGCAGCGGCAGGACCAGCACCAGCACCAGCACCAGTGGTGTCAACCAACCACCCCCGCGTCCAGTCAACCAACTGATAGACCGGGTGCGGCTCGATCTCCACACACGGCTGGCCGGGGAACCAGCCGCGCAGAAGGAACGGCTGATCGCAGTGCGTGAGTGCTCTCGTCTGCTGCTCGGACAGGTGGCGGGGGAAGTAGACCATCAGGAGTTCGAAGTGGTCGACGGGGCCCCGGGTGTCGAGGTGGTAGGCGTACTGGCGCGAGGTGGCCGAGAAGTCCACCAGGGCGAGGTGCACGGATCTACCCTGTGTCAATCGTCCGAGGAGATCCATCCAAGAGGTGTAGTTGTCCGAGTCGATGAATTTGGCTCGGGTGGAAGCGTGGCTCCATTCTGGGGGTCTCATTAGCATGCCCTCCCGGGGGAGAACTGGTGCAGTGGACGGGGCAGGATCGACGAACCGATCATGAGATATTCGGTGTTCGGGGCTTCGAGGGAGCGGGAGCGCTGGAGTCGGAGGGCGACGGAGCTATGATGTCCCCGTAGCTGGTCGAAGAATTCGTCGATCGCATCGGTCTGCTTGGCATGGTCCCAGATGAGGGCCGGAGTTACGGAAATCCAGTCGAGGAGGCCGGGGTTGCCGGTACGAGTGGGTTCGCTCAGGCGCAGCGGCGGAGACGTGGTTGACTGGCGAGCTGATGGCTCCTGGAGGAAGGTGGGAAGATTGCGGCGCGTGGAGCGAGTGACTGGTGGCATTGTCAAGGTGACCTGTACTGAATAGTAGGTTGGACAGGAATAGGGGGTCAGATGCAGTGGAACAACAAGTTCAATTACTGCTCCGTTACTTTAGTCTAACACCGCTAGAATTAAGACTAATCAATGCTAGAAGAGACAGAATACCCTCTGGAAATACCTAGATATTATATTATATAACTAGGACCGTACATTGGTTCTTATACTTTGTATAACTTGCTTGATCTTTTAGAGTAGTTATTATACGGCAGGGTACGTATATATGTAGTCTAAGATCCTAGTAGGTTTTGGGAAAGTCTAAGTCTAGATATGTATAAGCTACACTGGAACAGTTGACATTAATAGCAGTGAGACCCTACTGTGCTCTTCCTGCGATCGACTCGTGCAGAAAGTTGTTCATTATCATTGAGTGTATTTCTTGGTGATCAGCGTTGGCTACATGCAGAATACAAGGTATCACGTGGCCCTTTGCCGGACGATTAAGAACATAGTAAGGGGTAACCCTCATCACTGCGGTGATGTAAACACAGAGGCGCCCGGAAAGAGATGATATGTTTCAGAAAAGAAAAAGGGGTATGTCTAAATCCAGGACAAGATGACAAAGGAGACCCAGAATCGTGGGGACTCTCTGCTCCTTGGGTAGAGAGGAGTATGGGTATGGGTTATGATAGCATGAGATGAAGGGTATTGAAGGTTAATGGATGTCGAGGAGTAAAGAAAGCAAGTCGTACCAGCGTGTTCGAGTTCATGGCATTTCAACGGAACCGGTAGGACTTATGGGCCAAGGGTGAGGGGGGGCCATGGCCATGGCCGACTCCGCCAACAGGAACTCGAACACGATTATTCTTCCGAGTGGGAGTCTGTGCAGCGCAGAAGACGCAGACATAAACAGAGGGAAGATTGGCCCGTTCAAGACCAACACACTTGGTATGCAACCAGTGACTGCATGATTCACTGTCCCTAAGTCAGGCTAGGAAAGGACTGCTATAGCGTTCAGGACTACTTACCATTGGATCATCAGGTGACCACCGTTGTCCATGGAATTGCAAACACACCTGGTTCCCCGGCTTGGGTTACTAAACCGATCGGTGATCGGTGTTGCAATGTCAGGGTCCGTCATCGTTGTAGGAGACGTGTTCATCGTCCGCGTAGCGAGATCCAGTTCGGCGCCAAATCGCGGCGGTGACGACCGAAGGTGGGCCAGAGAACGATTGGCACGACCTATCCGCGAGCTGTAGCTGACAGTGTGAGGCCGAAGCGGACGTCCACGCTCTTGCAACACCTTCCGGAGGGCATGCTGGGCATCGCCACTGTCCTCTTCCACATCATCGAAGGGCTCCCCCAGCGATCCGGCACTCAGATAGGACAGATCTGAATGAAGCATGCCAGTCTGTCTTTTCGGGGTCCGTTTCCAGTCATCCAGAGTAGGTTTGTACTGGGGCCGGCGGGAAAGTCCGCGAGAAGATCCATTCCATGGGGACATCCGCCCCGACTGGGACGATGCTGCCGTCGAGGTGTAGGAGCCCTTTGAGTGAGGCCGTGAACCCGAGTCACTACGGCCCGTCACTGACCTTCCAGCATCTGAGAAGGCGAGTGAGGGGTTGCGGCTAGGGATGATGGGGTATTCAGAGTAATCGACCGAGTCATACTCGCTCTCTGTTGTGGAGCCCTCCAGGTCCATGGCGGTGATAGGATCTGTCAATCCAGTCGCTGCCTCTTGCACGGGCTGCATTTCGGTCTTGGCTCGACCGTCGCGTCCGATCCGGAGAACTACTGACTGAGAACGTGTAGGTACGCTGGCCGCAGACGTCGAGCGGGGCATCGACTGCCGCATAGACTTAACAGGCGACAGGCGGCCCTTCGATGGGCTTTTGCGAATGCCATTTGTCAAAGACATCGTGCTCCCAGCACTGGGGCGAGAAGACGTGATAGCCGTATGAGTAACACTACGGGTCAGCGTCGGCCGGGCCTGTCGAGGAGTGTAGTCATCGTCCTCTTCGAGATCGAACGGGGCGAGTGGATGGTGTACACTCTGTGCCCGACGGAGTTCTTCCCGCTTCGACTCCTCGGTCTGATGATGGTAGGGCTGTCTGGTAGGCCGACCAAAGAGTCTCTTCTCAGGAGTCGGCTGGGGTCCCCCAAAACGACGTGCTGGAGAGCTGAGAAACATGGCTGGATCCTCAGCTTTCGTGATCGGTAGACGAGGAGAAGTAGAGAATGGGGCAGGAAACAGTGCGGCGTCGGTCGTGGTGGTTGACGAGAAGTTATAGCCGTGGGTATTGAACTCTGGAAGTTCCATACTACCCTCGATGGTGGGCAACTGAGGGATATGGGCATCCTGCAGAGGTGGAGGGTTGAGCTGGAAGGGGCCACTGGTTTGCGGAGCGAATAGATCGACACCGCTGGTCGAAAGACCCATGCCTACCCCATGATTTCCCAAGTCATGATCCCAGAAAAGTCTCTGCTGCGGAAATAGAGGGGATGCGGAGGGATTCATCGATCCCAGTTGAAACGGATCTGGGGAGGAGGTGAAATTGAACAACTGAGGCGAGGCACCCATTATCCGGCTAGGAGTCTCCAGATGACCGCCCACCGCACTGGAAGCGGAGGTACGTCGCCCAGTGCCCTTGCCCTCGCCATACTCAGTCATCTTCTTTCGAGAAGCGCTGCTTGGCGGGGGTGTCTGTATGGTGGCGGCAGACTTGGCTGAGTCTACCGTCCGCGGACCGTCCTCCCCGATAAACCCATTGGCTTTGGACGGCCGGCGTCGTTTCGCTGTATCTGTGTCCTGCTCCGCCGCTTTGGCGCTCCTCAGGTTGGGGTCTGCATCTAACGGTCGGTCGGGCCCAGTGTCTGGCAATCGGAGAGGATTGATCGAAGGGGTGCTTATACCGAACTTCTGGGGTGTCCGGAGAAATTCCGGACTGGAGGCATAGGGATCGGAGGTGTCCCAAGTGACTCGGGGATCGAAGAAGCTGGACTCGAGTTTGGGGGTCTGAAAGGCCGGATCACCGAAGATTGTGGTCGTCGGAGGAGTCCTCGTTGGGGTCTGAGGTTCACCGTTTGGATAGCTGAAGCTGAACGTAAAGGACGGCTCCGTTAGTATCATTGTGCACATGAGCGGCTACTTCGGGGGGGAGTTGCGGAGTTTCGACAGAAAGCTCCGCGGAACCAGCCTAGGGCCGGCCAGAGAGGACAAATTGTATATATGGGCCAACTATATACACATAGAAAGCTGGGGAGGGGGGGCTGCAGAATTGAAGCACACAAGCACGCAAGCATAAGTATTGAATAAGTGGCTTTCAAGTGAGGTGGAGTGGAATAAAGAAGACAAAGCAACCCCGCTTGTGCCAGCCCGTGGTGCCGTATGTGTAGGTAGGGGAGAGAGAGAATTGAATGAACCAAATCCCACATACCTGTGAACGGGGTGATCCCAACTCATGTCAGCAACTTTGTGATCCCAGCAACCATTCAATTGCAGAGCTGCCAGGCAACCCTCTCGTAGATTTTTTCGAGATTTTTGCGAGTCGTCAGGAATGTTCGGGGAGAGGGGTTTCGGTAGGGATCGAAGTTGCCGACGAATGTGAAGTTGCCCGGGGGTCATAGAACTCGAGCTTTGCGTTGGGACCCCTCGAAGGACTGAGCGGACGGGAAAGGAGGATTTGACGGTCTAGCACATAGTAGTCGAGTCGGGAGGAGAGGCAGGGAAATGAATCCCGGAAGTAGTTCTAGGGAGGAGAAAGAGGGAGAGGAGAGAGGAGGGGGTGGACAAAGGAGGATCGTAATGAGAGGAAAGGGAGGAGGGAAGGAGGGAGGGAAGGGTAGGAAGTGGTGGTGGTAGGTTAAGTGGTTGTTGTGAGAGGGGAAAGTAATTTAGTAGTAGGAAGAGTAAGAAGAGTAAGAAGAGTAAGAAGAGAAAGGTTCCAAGAATGGTAGAATAGAGCTTCTGCTGAACAAAAGGTGCTCTAACGGAATGTGTGTTCGTTTCCTTCAATTTGTCTCTTCTCTGGTCCTTGGTTCTTGAGGGAGGAGGTTCGGTTCGTCAGTCGGTAGGTAGTAGTAGTCCCTGCACCGGAGGCAATAGTCGTTGTTGTAGCAGCTGTGAACTGTAGTTAACTACTAGGTAGTGACTACTGTATGTTCGTTCCCAAGGAGACAGTCAAGGAGGGCAGTGGTTCAAATAGGAAGGAAGTAATTGAATTGATTGAGAAAGGGAAGCAATTGAATTTTGTGTTTTCGTTTTCCTCTGTTTGTAATTTGGTAATAATTTGACAGTTTTTTTTTTTTTTTCTTTTTACATACATCCGCAGATCCACTGGGGAACCATTTTCAATGAAGGGGAAAAAAAAGACTACGGAAGGATGAACCCCAGGACCGGTTCTGCTGCCATTTCATTCTCGTTCGATCGTGTCTCTACTATATGACACTTGAGCCTTTGAGCTGCTAGTCTTCCAGTCATCTTTCTCTATAGTACTTGCATCCGTCATCATCAATCGAGGGTCTTCCAACCAGCATGCTCCTTCCCGATCTTCCTCCACCCTCTATCCGGTAGTGGTAGAGATTCGGCATCTTGATGGAAAGATTATCTCTCGGCCGGCTCACTCGAGCAAGCTTGTGATTATACTATGCCGTGAGGACAAGGAAGAGTGCAAGATATTGCAAGACTCGGCATCATAGA